TTATATGTTATTTTGCCGAAACGTTCATAGATATACTTTTATAAGATATCGATGATTAAATGAAAGACCTGGTGAGATGAACCTCATAAAGTCTCATATATACAGTACATCTGTTGTACTGAGTATATCTGTTATACTCACAGGCCAATCTTTTTATAAGATTGAAAACAATTTCATACGTTGAAATTGGTTGTTATTTTCCCATTTCCTTAATCTGAAAAGATTATACAAGTGGATTTGAAAAGATCTGCTTACATTTTTATGAATTGACGGTTCTCGCTGAAGTTTCATTCATTCTGAAGTATGAGGTAATGATTCTCATTTCATCATAAGGGGGATTATGTAATAATGAATGAAATGACCAATTTCGAACGTTATAAGGGGAATATGTTATAAAGATCAAAGGGGAGTAACATCAATGATGGCAAAAGACTCAAAAGGAGTGTGACTAGAGATTATTTCTGAAGATTATTCCGATGCTACAATGTCTGAGAGTTTTTGAATGTGAAAATCATCCTTACAACAGTTTATTGATAAAGATTACTTTTGAAGAGAAAGTTTGTTCGTTATCTTAAGAAATTCATTTTTGGGAAAATGTCTGTAATTCGTTATCTGAAGAAATTCTTTGAATATCACATCTTGAAGATTATATCTGAAGATCGTTGTTGATATTGTTCTACATTGTCAAAAGAGAAGATCGTTGTTGTTCTACATTCGAGGGGGAGAATGTTAGAAGATTTTCTCAACTAACGACCGTCTGAAGTTTTCAAATTGAAGATTGTTTTGAAGAAGTCATAAAGGGCTTAAAGAGTCAAAGTTCAAACGAGATTCAACGCGCGCAAATTCTTTCAAGCCTGAATACAAAGGGGGAGAATGTTAGGATTGAATTTCAGTGAAAATTGTATTCGACTTGAAAGATTAATATTGTCTATAATTGTTGTAAAAGTCATCGTGTTTGACTTTTTTGATAGTTTGTCTTTGACTAGTGGGGTTCAACTTTGACCCTATATATAGATTTTCTTAGTGTAATATTTGGTATGAGCTTCATTGTAAAATCAGGTTACGTAATATAAAGTTTGACCAAGTTTGAAGGTTTGACCTTTTCTCTCAACCTCCTTCATAGTCTTCTTGAAGAATATCCAAATCTGTCATTGATTCTTGAAGGTTTAGATTGAAGATTGATCATAGAGGACTCACATTATGGATCCTTCTTTGTCTTTGATGCAGGCACGACTATCCCATCAGCGGTAGTTTGGTCAGGTAGATCCATGTAACTTATGTGGGGAACAATCTTTATAGATTACATCATCTTCTCATCCTTATTGTCAAGGAAATGTATCATTCGAACTTTCCATTGCAAGTACTCCCTAACAACAAGAACCAAAGGCTTAGAGTTAGAACCAATGCTCAACATGTCTTTTGACATTTTTAAAGACTTGAAATGATCTTTTTCAGAAAATATTGACTATGACAGGATTTGAAGAACTCAACAAATGAAATTCTTGACTATTGAAAATTTCAACAAAAATCTCTTTATCGGACAAACAAATAATAGATATTCAGACAAAGAATTTCTTATCGGGCAAATGAAACAAGATACCAGACAATGAGCTTATCGGACAATGCATAATATTTGATGGTTATTGGACTAGGATGAGTGTTTATCGGACAAAAAAATTGTGATTTTATTGGACACTGAAATACTTCTTCGAACAACAATGAATATATTCCCTTATCGGAAAACAAAAGCTTATCGGACACACTTGAAAGAATTACTTCACCTATAAATGAACATACACTTCACCGAACAAAGAGGTTTCTGATGAGAGAGTTTTAACGGATAGACTTAAAAATCAAGTATCTGGACAAAGTGAATGAGACAGGTTATCCGGACAAGTTAAAATTTGAGCGATAACAAACAATGAATAGAGTCTCCGGATGACTCTTTGTAAGATAACCAAGGGTTATCGGAGAATGTTGTTCGATGAGCAACAATACACAGATATCAGACAATACTTATCTGATCAAAACTTGAATGATAACAATTCAAAACAAACCCAAGTCACAAGAAATGTACGATAACAGTATTGAATCAATATGAACAACTAATGAACAAGTTCAATGAGCGATGAAGGGCTCCTTATCGGACATTGAATATTCAATATCCGATGAGCATGTCACTTAACTCCAGAATACTAAAACTCAATCGAATTCAGCCAAAAATTGCAAATTGATGCAATTCAACTATACATAATGGTTTGCAATCCACCCAGAAACAGAATAACACAATTAAATGCAACAAATATGGATCAAATAGATTCAATTTGATCAAAGATCCAAGAATAGTAACCCATATGTTCAAAAACAGGAATTCAATAATTTATACATAGAATCGTAATCCAAATCTAACCCAGTCTTTCTGATGAAGCTCTAATACCAATTGTGATCTCAGATTCAAGTCTAATTCAACAATTCAATAAATAATCAAAAACAAGATGATGATTTCAATATGTCGGCAAACTTGTATTCATAAACTTGATGAGTACAGGTTCTTGATACGATCTGTCAAGGTGATACGAATCTGTCGAGTGATCTAACAACCAACTAACAAAAACTAACACCTGCTATTTATAGCAGCCCCAAAATAAAAAGACAACAAACCGAGCTTATAAAAGGAAACACTAACTAAGCAATTACAAAGCATATTAAAACATTTTGAGCACTGGAACTTGAATACAACATTTTTGTTCTAACAATTAGAGAACCTTATATGGAAGACCTATACACAGACATCTTTGTTTGTCATTGTAAAGCGTTAAGTTTTGAGAAAGTCTTGGGTATTCACAAAGAAACCCGTGAATATCGCAAAGAATACAC